AATATACATAAAGCATTTTCAATAATTTTCATTTTCATTGTGTTTTTGCAGTTTTTCTTCTTCCAATAAAAAAGTCGTAAGTAATCCAAAATATGCGATCATTCGAACAACCCGTTTCCCTGATTCCGTTCGGATTAACACGACCGTACTGCATCTACATATCCCTATTCTTAATTTAAAGGATTTCAAACTTATCCCAAAACAGTTTTTACTTTCCGGAATTTCTTTCCTGATTTTTCAACAGCATGGCAACACCGCGTTACAACTACATAATGTAAACGCCCGACTTTCGCCTTCGAGAACTCCGAATGCAGTGTTGTCGATCTATTCATTTATCCGTCTTTTCAAAGTCGTCATTTTTAGAGACAATTACAATAAAAATGACGTTAGTCTTGACAAATTGTCACTGTTCTGATAATGTTTGATTTTTTCACGTCAATATTCTTTAAAACGACGTGTCGTGGATTATATAAAGGGTAATATATAAAATCTTTTCCATCGCCAACGACGAATCGTCATTGACAAATGATTACAAAAATCATTTTTTTCAGTCAAGATATCTAATACGTTGTTGCATTTCTTCAAATAAACTTTATAAATGATTAATTTTTAGCCTTTTTCTTGCGGTTTCACCACTTCTTCTCATGACGCCGTCTTCTTTCGAAGGTTAGCGATCCAAATGGCAATTTTGGTTTTCTACCACACGGAAGCTGCGTAACTATCTATTTCGTCTTCCAGAGTCGTAAACGACTTTAAACCTCAGTGAATTAAAAGAACAAAGTAGGTTCTTACATATTTCTACTTCGATCGTCATTGCGTTCTCAAAATACTACACAATTTGTAAGATTTATTGAGGTAAAAGATGTTTATATCATTCTAATAAATGTTGTGATTTATAAATGTCTTAAAAAACAATCTAAAAATATTAGTTTTTAGGTATACTAAGCTAATACTTAACCAATACTGGAATGACTATTATAATTATCGATATTCATAAGAGTATTTACGTTTTAAACTAAAAAATATCGTCTTCAGAGAAAATCTATTATGCAACTGTTTGTTAGGTTAATTCTTTAAATTTATATATATTTATATATGTATAATGGGAAATTATGGTGGCTATTCATATTAAATGCTGTTTTAGAAGGTTCTTTAGCGCCTCCTGAAAAGAAAACCACAAGCTCAAACACGTGACACCTGTGGCTAGGCTGTTTGTAGCAAAAGAAGACGCTCAACGAAAAATTGCCTTATATTAACAAAAACTGCTTTGGGCTTTATAAGGAATTTTCTTTGTTGCTGGAAACAATGAAAAATTCACTAGTTAACCTCTGTAGACTGTGAGTTCGTTTGTACAATTTAACAATATGCACTCCCCGGTACCGTCAGCGCTCCCTATACACGCACTCCCACCACAAGTTCCTCTTCCATCGATGCGCGCTAGAGATGGAAGGCCGATGACATGAGAGAGTTTTTTCTCTCTCGATAAGGTGGTTTTCAATCTCTGATACATATTGCAAGAAATAGAGAGTTAATGGAAAATGTGATCGCTAACATCCATTAGTGGATTTGCATCTGAAGAAGAAGAAGAAGGTGGTTTTAATGGATGATCTCAACAGTAGAAACACTCAAATAGGTGACACCTCCATATGAACCTCCATATGACACCTCTGAATACTCAGACCTCCTTCTAGAGATGCACATCTCCAAAATCACCAACAATGAAGTTGAGTTCTTCAATCACAGTGGAATGTCGATCATATCCTCTGTACTAACAGAATACTGGATGAGAATCGCTCATTGGCGATTCAATAACCTATGACCATTTGTCACTAGTAGTCAAAAATGAATTCAATCAATACTGCTACCTATGGGCAAGTTTATCGTAAAGCTAATTGGGAACTATCCCAATAACATATCAATCATAACCTCCCAGAGTTTGGTAGCTTAGGTAAAAACACATTACCTGGACCTGATTGCATTCACAAAAAATTCCCGGAGAGTATTATCCCGGTACTTACAAACATAATCAATGCATGCCTATTGTTGAACTACTTTATTATATCTTGGAAGATAGCCAACACAGTCATGATTCCCAAACCAGGGCAACCCTTAACCAGCACTGAATCCTACAGACCTATCTTAATACTCAGCACCCTAGGTAAAGTCTACGTGCTGATCCTAAAGGAGAGACTCATCGGTAGAATTCCTAGACGGACAAATGCATTGATTTGAAGCAGCAACCTTCATATTGCAAACCCTCAATGAAACAAATAGACACGCCCTAGTCATCTTTCTCGATATCTAGACGGACTTCGATCAGGTTTGATACAAAGAAGTGATCGAAAAGCTACACCTTACTGGAATGCCTATCCCCTTCTTAAAAATAATCCATTCCTATCTCTCCAATCGGACAATCGCTAACACGGTATCGACACCATTCACTCCACAAGCTGGAGTCCCCCACGGCTCAATTCTAGCACCAATACTACGAGCTCCTCCCCATATCAGTTGGCCCACCTGTGGAAAATGCAGTTTAAGAAGATTACCATAAACAAATTATACTGCATGTTTTTATGGCAAGTTAAACCCTGGCTAAGCATTCACTTATCTCAACATACGTTGATTTTTTCATAATTACGTTAAATTTAGAGACAGCTATAGAAAAATGACATCAAAACAATAATATTGTCAGTTAATGTCAAATTTAGTTTGTAGCATTGTTAAGCTTTTTGCCGTTTGTGGATTGTGCAATGGGTCGAAGTAAAGTTATCGATGAGAAAATTTGTTCAATCATTATTAGATTTTTTAATTCTGGAAAATCCAATTCGGGAATCGCGAATATGTTGCAATTGTCACGCTATAGTGCAAGAAATACAGTCAGAAGATACAAAACTACAGGTTCGTTCGTCACATAACCTAGAAATGTACGAAAAAGTAAAGTAACCGAAGCAGCTCGAAGGGCATTAAGACGCCTTATAATGAAAAATCGATGAGCAAATTATATGGAGTTAAGCGTTTTATGGAGTGACGTTATTGGAAGACACGTTTCTAGATCAACATGTCACCAAGAGGCCTACAAATTAGGATTTTGTACATACAAAGGTAAGTTTTGTAGTTGAAAAAATTAAAACGAATTGTTTTTAATAAATTTCATTTTATTTTAGGCTAAGGAAAGGCCACCTTTAACATTACAACAAAAGAAAAATAGACTAAGATGGTCAAAAGAGTATAAAGATTGAACTCAGTCGGAATGGGATTCAATACAATGGAGTGATGAGTTCAGATTTGAAGTGTGTGTTCGAGACAGTAGAAGTCGCGTCATTCGGAGGAAAAATGAAGCTTTCCATCCCAACTGTCTTAAGAGAAAAGTCAAATTTCCTGTATCTGTCATGATCTGAGGCAGCATGTCCTCTAAAGGTGTGGGAAAATTACATTTTATCGATGGGATTGTAAACACGGACAAATATTTGAATATTTTAGAAGAATCTCTTTTACCAATTATGGAACATCGTTTAACATCAGCGCAAGATTTTGTTTTCAACAGGACGGCGCAGGTTGTCATACCTCAAAAAGAGTTTAAAATGAATTGAAGACCATGGTATGCCACTTCTGGAATGGGTTTCTAACAGTCCCGACAGAAACTTTGTGACGCGAAATGAATAAAGCTTGAGAAAACATCCTGCCAAGTCCATCAATGAATTAAAGGAAAGATTGCAAGAAATATGAGATTCGTTTACATTAAAATTTTGCTAGAACTTGGTAAAAACTATGCCTAGAAGAATTGTGGATGTCGTTAAAAAAAGGGGATGTAACTCAGTGGTAAACTTTCACATTTTTTTGTTACTAAAAGTTAATTTTCTTATAAATCTAACGTTGGGCCAACTGATATAGTAAGCGGCTTGTATACAGTCTACAACAGTGTCATCCCCCACCCGTTTTCTAGATCAGAGTCAATATTATTATTTGCTGACGATACTGCCTTCCTCTCTGCAGGAACATACAATCGGACGCTGAGATGTTCGATGAAGCACAGGGCCAGTTTAACAGAATTGTCAGGTGGTGCAACAAATGAAGAGCCATACTCAATTCATTTTATTCTAATCCCCTCACAGCCGCAATACTGAGAGGATTCAGTTGCCAGGTTTCACATCCATAAAACACAACTGTGTCCTATTTCCAAACTTGAAAAAGGAGGTGTTTCGCAACGACTGATGCCGAAACTTTACGACATTTGCAGGAGCTTGAGTTCAATTACTTTTTGAAAGTTTAAGACATGTCTTACAAGTTTTTTATTAACATTTAAGATTTTTACAATATGTTTTGCAGTGAAAACAATTAGTAAAATTTTTTGTCTTTACATGACAGAGATCTGTAAGGTCCAGTGACCAAACCATCACGACACAACTTGGTTTGTTTACCGGTAGGATGCGCACATACACTGATACGCGAAGTGCTGCTAAAATGGCTGGGTGCTGTTGAAGGCGTAACTCCCACTGCTGTAGGCTCTGTCAGGATCGGTGAGGTAGGTCCAAGGGGTCATGTCGCTTCAATCTCTTCGCTTGTTGGTTGTTGAGAAGATTGTGTGCCAGGGTATTAGGATGCACCCGCAACCTGGTTTGATATTGTTCAGAAGATTTTTTGCACTCTTCAGAGACTGTTAGTACCTGAAGATCTCTATGTATTGCATCATTCTGGATATACCAAGGTGCATTAGCGATTGTTCTCAGAGTTTTGGATTGAAATCTTTGTATTATCATAATATTAGATTTGCTAGCTGAACCCCAGAGCTGGTCTTACAAGTGTTTTATAAAAATATGCGACTTTGTTAAAAAATACATACAAAACTTACTGCTTGTTTTTTCTGCTTTTAATAATTAAAATAATTTATCTCATTTGAAATTTATATTTATCTACAGTTGTTGGGCGTTTCGTCAAGCGTCTCTTAAAACACATAATACTGATGAAAATGATTAGTATAAAAACACATAAAAAATACTCACGTTGGAATGAGAGGTGCAGGAAGAGCCTGTCCTTGTGGTCTGCCCGGAGGCATCGGAGGAGCTCCACCTCCAGGTCTATTGGGAATCGCCGGTGCGGGTCTGCCGCTGCTAGGTGGCGGAGGGGGAGCTCGGGAACCCAATGAACCTTTAACGATGATTCAAATAGGACAATCGACAAATAAACTAACTCTTTTCGTTGTATATAACATTCGTTTCAATATCTTAAAATATTTTTGATCATAAAAATTTGCTTACCGCTGGATCCTACTGCACTCATCTGCGGTGTAGCCTTCCGAGGTCCTCCGGGACTGGGTGGTGACAGTCTGGGATTCTCCAGCCCACTGGCCAGCCAGTCGTTTTTGACAGGTGGAGGAACCGGTGTGGAAACGGTAGCCATCGAGACATCGCCGATGATATTCAACGCTTCTTTGCAGGCGTGGTACATCCGTAACATCTCTTCGCGTTTCTGAGCCTCTTCGGAGCCTATTTTGATAAAAAAAACATTTGTTATAGATCAGAATTGTCGAAAAAGTAAAAATTAACGTGACGATTTATGAAAAATGGTAGATATAACTGCTGGAACAGTATAAAATTTTGAATAATGGCTTTCGGCTAAGTATTTTCTTTTCCCTTATGCTTTAAAAAATAAATGATCACTTGTAATAAAGTCTGGACTGTACAGTGGATGTTCCAATTCTAGAAAACTGAAAACTAAGACATTTTCCTTCACCAGTTGTCTCACCAGATCTTTCCTTGTCTATTAAACACTTTGTTTGAGTTTTAACACAATTTTTAAATGAACACGCTTACCATACCGAGTAACAATGACTTACGTCTTGCATAGATTGCATATTAGACCAGATAAAGTCTGCAGCGAATGGTTAAGATAACTAACTGAGACAATAATTAAAAAAAAATTAACTACTTACCTCTTCCATCATTTGTGACTGATCCCCGCTGGCGTAGATGTGGGCCAACAGTTCTCCGTTGATGAAATCTTTGGTATGGTTGATGATCATGTACATGATGGTCTTGGGCACCAAGTCTCTGGTGGTTTTTGTGACGATGCGCATATAACTGTCGACCAAGTTCCTGATAGTCTCCACTTGTCGTTCCAGTTGGGGATCCATCGAGCTGGTTACGCTTTCGCCGGAAGACTAGAGAGAAATTCGTTCGAAAGGTAATTGATGTAATAAAAGTTTCGACATCTGTTAGAAATTGACTAAAGTTTTGTTCCTCACATAGATTGGTAATGAATATTATCAAAATTGAAAAAAAAGTGTGTTTGAGCCAAAATGTCGACTTTTAGGGTAATAAAATCTGGAATTAGGTATCTAATAATTCTTGCAGCGAATATATTTTACAAATATTACACAAGAATTTGATCCAGAAACGAATTAATCATTGGAAAATCTTTTTTTAATAACTAGAATAGTAAATATACAACGAGGGTGCATCCCCTAAATCGCAACCCTAAGTTCGAAGTTTGTCAGCATCAATTCGGCGTCTAGTCAGCGACAAGTTAACGTCGTATCAGTATTATGTAAGTGCCATTTAGGGGTTGCACCAGAACCCGCGTTGTATATCTACTTATAAAGATAAAAATCTTTGATTTGACTACATTTTTGATGCTCAGCTGTGGAATAAAGTCTTTGTAGAGAAATTGACTTTTTACATCCTTTTGGATACCATCTTTCAATAAATAACAACAAAATATGTGCAGAAATATGAAGAGTTGCGCAGAAATTTCAAGTCTGACGTCAGACGAAACTTGTTATACTATAGGTATAGGAAAATAAACAAAATCATTAAGCAAGGTCCAGTTAGGTGACAAATGAGAGCCCTCAAATAGGGGATCAATAAAAAAACACAAATTGCTGAAACTAAACTCTGATAATTATTAAATATAGAGGTGGAACGACATATTTGAACATTTCCGAAAGTGCCGAGCGCCTTAAAGTTTTGCGTTTACAATAATAGAATACTACAGGGTGTTTCAAAAAAAGATAACCCGTCGCTAGGGTAGGTAAAAAACTGAAATATAATTGGGTTTGCTTAGTAAAAAATTTTTGTAACGCCATCCGTTTTCAAGATACAGGGCGTTGAAGAAAAAAAAATTTTACGCATTTTTTACGATTTTGCCGAAACTACTGGCAACATTGTAATGAAATTTTATACGAATATGTTTTGGAAGCTGATACATCCCATGAATTTGTTTTTATATCTGATTCTCATAGAGGGCGCTAGTTACACGGATCGTACTAAATATTAGTCAATATAACTTTTTTAAGAGTATAATTGTTAATCAAAATTTCAAGTAAACTCAAACATCATTCAATTTTACACGAAAAAGGTACTCTTGGTAAAACTTGATACTGTGTACCGTTTTCGGAATATTTTGATTTGAAAATTATGAAGTAATAATTGATGTTGGTAGTAATGATAAAGTTCTAATAGGTATACATCTATTTTCTCCAAGTGTGCCATGGAAATCTGACATTTATTGATTGTTATGACGATAAATCAACAATAATTAGAGTTTTGAAATCTTGTTATTTGTAAAATCAAATCAAAATGTACTCAAATGTTGAATACACTGACATGTTATTAACCTTAGGCGAATGTTTAGGATGTTCTAGTGCAGCTGTGACACGTTATGCAGAAAGTTTCCTAGAAGAAACTTACCAAGTAAAAAAACATTTAGAGCCGTTGAACGACGTTGTCGAGAAACTGGGAATGTGAGACCAAATAAAATAAATTCTGGTAGACCAAGAACAACAAGAACAATTAATAAAGAAAATAATATTTTAAATTTACTTGATCAAGGTCCAACAGTTAGCGTAAGGAATATAGCAAGACAAACAAATACTTCTTCTTCAAGTACTTGGTGGATACTGAAAGAACAGCAATTACATCCTTATCATTACAGACAAGTCCAAGAGCTCTTGCCAGATGATCTACCGGTTAGAGTGGATTTTTGTGAAACATTGCAACAAAGGACAGCCCACAATCCAAATTTTTTAAAATGCATTCTTTTTACGGACGAGGCCACCTTTACGCGACAAGGTATGTTTAACTCCCATAATGCACACTACTGGTGTGATGAGAATCCACGAGTCAAAAGGGTATCACATTACCAACACTCATTTAAAGTTAATGTTTGGGCAGCAACTTTAGGTAACAAATTAATAGGTTATCATATTCTACCTGGAAATTTAAATGGTGATATGTATCTTGATTTTTTAAACAATTCCTTATTCGAGATATTAGAAGATTTAACGCTAAACGAGCGAAGATCTTTATTTTTTATGCACGATGGAGCTCCACCACACTTTGATAGAAGGTGTCGTAATTGGTTGAGTAATCATTTTCCGAATCGATGGATTGGTAGAGGTGCAGAAGCTCCGATTCATTGGCCTCCTCGGTCATGCGATTTTAACCCTTTGGACTACGCAGTTTGGTCGTATATTAAGGAAAAAGTCTATGCTACAGAGGTAAATTCACGCCAAGAATTGGAAGAAAGAATTCAACGTCAATTTAATGACATCATAGCTGATCCCCTACCGTTTAGAAGGTTAATGGAATCTTTAGAAAAAAGAATAGACTTGTGTATTCGCGAAAACGGAGGGCATTTTGAACACTTACTGTAATTGAATTTTATTTTATGTTCTTAGTCATTAATTTAATTTTCTTCTTGTGAGTTTGTTTAATTACTATTTTATACCAGCATCAATTATTACTTCATAATTTTCAAATCAAAATATTCCGAAAACGGTACACAGTATCGAGTTTTACCAAGATTACCATTTTCGTGTAAAATTGAATGATGTTTAAGTTTACTTGAAATTTTGATTAATATACTCTTAAAAAAGTTATATTAACTAATACTTAGTACGATCCGTGTAACTAGCGCCCTCTATGAGAATCAGATATAAAAACAAATTCATGGGATGTAGCAGCTTCCAAAACATATTCGTATAAAATTTCATTACAATGTTGCCAGTAGTTTCGGCAAAATCGTAAAAAATGCGTAAAATTTTTTTCTTCACCGCCCTGTATTTTGAAAACAGATGTTAGAGACAGTTTTATTTATATTTTAATATAGACGCGGCAACCGCGCACCGCGAAGTTTGTACGTCGGCTTGGTTCTTAACCGTCGTTGAGAACAACATTGTAAATCCGAAAGTCAGACAATAAAGACATGTTTCTGTAGTTCCTTAGTCAATTAATTCAATCCTAAATCGAAAGTAAAATCCCACATAGCGGGAAGTAAAACAACATAACATTCGGTCCTTCGTAGCCACATAACCAGTAAACTGTGGAAATCTTAGTGAAATCCATTAATTACTCAAATTAGTGTTAAAAACATCGAAAGTGATATGCCGGCAAGAAGCTACAATTCGCGCCATTGAAATCCAGAATCTACGAACGTCAATCAATTGCAGTCGCCCAACCATATATTGTGGAACGAGAAGCGACGTTCAATCAAGTTCAGTGCTGGACGAATGTACAGTGAACCAGTCAAGGTGGAGAGACAGAGCTCATAGCGAGAACCATACATTTTAAATGTGAGTTTTTCATATTCCTGTACTTTTCTTCCATTTTACCGAATTATTTCAATTGTATATAAGCGAATTCAGCACTCCTTAATTTCTTAACGTTCAAAAACAAATAAATTCTCAGAATATAATTAATATGCCTAATGAATTCAGCTATTATTTATCTGCTATCTATTTTTAAATAAATAAAACGTTTGTATTTTAATTTAAAACATATTTTAAATATATTTGAGGTAATTTTGATATCGAAAGGTGTAATTATGGCGTCAAAAGGCTTAGGGAAATTATTAAAAAAACGTGAATCTCAATTTTCTAAGCTTGAACAATTTAAAACATATTTAGACGACTTTAAACGGTTGTTAAATGGTAGTTCAGTGGCGGCGGTCGATGAGGAGCGTATAATAGAGCTAGAGTTAAGACTAGAGAGACAAGTTGTTTTGTTCCATGAGTTCGAGCAACTGCAAGAGGAGATCGAAAGTATAGAGGATCCAATTGATGATCAATTAATCAAACAACGTGATGACTTCACAAATAGTCATTATAGTCTTGCAGCCATAAGCAAGAGGTATATAGGATCGTTCTATGATGCAAAAAATCAACAACTTGCCTCTCAGTCAGGGTCAATTAATAACGGAAAGGCGTCTAATCATGCAGACGACGTTTCGGTCGCGAATGTTCGCCTGCCACAGATCAGTTTACCGAAGTATTCCGGAGAGTCTAACAGCTGGTTGGAGTTTAGGGACATTTTCGATAGTCTTATACATACAAATGCATCTATTAGCAACATTCAAAAGTACCATTATCTGCGTGCATCCTTAGAGGGCGGTGCCGCACAAGTCATTCGGTCTATAGAATTTTCAGCTAGCAATTATACAGTGGCGTGGGATACTCTATTAAATAGGTATAATAATGACAACCTATTGATTCACAATCACGTCAAGGCTATATTTGACATTTCAAATATACAACAAGAATCGGCAGCTGAACTTAGACGAATGTTAGACAGCTTATCAAAACATTTGAGATCGTTACAAAATTTAAACCAACCAACACAACATTGGGATACACTGTTGATATACATTTTATCCAATAAATTAGACAAAACAACGGCCAGGGAGTGGGAAGAAAGCAAGGTCAAATGCGAAAGCCAAACGTCATCCAACAACAAAACGGTGCCACCTACTCTAGAAGAGTTTGCATCCTTTATTAGAAAGAGAGCAGATCTTTTGGAAACGCTATCTTTGACAAAGGACTCAAAAGGTAACAAGTCAAGGGTATCGTATCACATGCAAACAGGGGAAACTCAAGGTAAGGAACATAATAGACAGGTTACTTGTATTTATTGTAAACAGCGTCAACATTTTATACAGGGTTGTCCGGAGTTTCTTAACTTATCCATAGAGCACAGAACACAGGCAGTAAATAAACATCGTCTTTGCGTAAACTGTTTGCGAAACAATCACAATGTAAGGCGTTGCTTTGCAGGTTCTTGTCGAAAGTGTGGTCAACGTCATAATACGCTACTTCATGTAGAGAAAGCCAATACATCCGTAAATCATGTGTCTTCTGTTTCGAATGTTCCTCAGCAATATTCTCAA